GGAGCTTGAATTGTGTGGTTGTGAATTTGTCTAGAGTTGCTTCCTTCTTTTTCTCCTTTCTTCATCTTAGGTTTGATCTTGAGACAAGGGAAATTAAATGTGATCTTTGATGATCGTTGAGGTTGTATGCTGATGGATTACTTCTTAATTCATGGCCGAATTGATGAAATTGCTTGAAATTATTGAATTAGAAAGACTTGAAGGTGTGTTGCATGTGGAGGGAGATCTTGAGTGATTTTGTTGTATAGATTGTTGCTGAAAATTGTGTTGAAAATGAGTTGCTAGTGTTGTGTGAGCGGTGACATTTCTCAGTAGACAGTGGTGTTTGAACTCTACAGTACTACCTCATTTTCTCTTTACCTCTTATTTATTTCAAATTTTCAACCCAGCTCTAAATGCAGTAGAGGCTACTGCATGAAATAAATAGCACCGGACAATAAAATACTAGAAAAAAAAGACCTTTAATTGCCATAATAACTCAATGAAAATGAGATATGCAAAAGTTAAGTAAATAAAAACACACAAGTTTATAAAAGAGGTGGAAAGATGAACATGAGAATAATTAAGGAGGTACTGGTACATGTAGAAAGATAAAATATGGAAGATAAATGTGCAAGAGATATAAAAAAGATTAACAAAATCAAAAGTAAAAGTATAAAATAAAAAAAAATAAAAAAAAAGGGTCGAAAAGGCTTTTATATGGAAGCCGTTGGCTTGTCCTTTGCACTTTGCTTATTACGTATATTGCTTTGCAACTAATAAATTTGATTAGGTATAAGGAATTCAACAACTCCATGAAATGTAAGACCAACTCAATTACCCCGAAAATTCTCGGACACCATGAATGAATTGTTTCGATCGCGAAACTTACGAGTAATGACAGGGTAAAATATCATTTTGAATCTAGAAAGGAAAGGATATGTTTTTATATTATAGTATAAATTTTTTTTTAAAAAAAGTTTTTAAAATTATAAAACTTTATTCACTTTAGTTTAAAATTTTAAAAATCATGTGACAAATGAAAATGAAAACATATATCTGGGAAAAAAATATAATAAATGATTACTTTTAAAGATTTAAATAAAATAACTAAAATATTTAAAGATTATTTTTCAATTTTATTACTTCCGGTAACTAAAAGTTAGCAACATATATTGTAAAAAATTGAATGATAACTTTTTTCATATTTAAAAATCGTGATTATTTGAGAATCATAAATTTTTAAAATTATGAAAATTTATTTAATTGATCATAAATATTTATAAATATTACCTTAAAATTACATTGAATAAACAAATAGAGGTGATATAGTGATTTTACAGTATTAAAACCTTTTTTTTTCTTTAACTTCAAAAAGTTGGTTTTTCACCTTTTCAACAAAAATGATTTCACAAAATATCTATAGAAAAATCATTTTTTAAAAATAATGTTTAATTAAAATGTTATATTTTAAATTACAAAATCAAACGAAAACAAACATCCATGATGTCATATTCTCATAAAAGTAAAAAAACAATTCGTCTATGAAACATTCCCGTAACGATAACAAGCGTCCAAGTACATTGAAGAAGAAAGAATACATATAAAATTAACTTAAAAAAGTTAAATGTTTATTTAATAAACGGAATGCTATCTATATTATATTAAAAACAAAATATTTATTATTAATTTTATATGACAATCATTAATTTATTTAATTTTGAAAATAATTCATAAATGCATTGAAGAAAATAATAAATAAAACCTTATATTCAAATATAGTTAATAAAAAATCATTATATTAGAATATAGTTAATAAATAAATCATTATATTAGAATATAGTTAATAAATAAATCATTATATTAGAATATTATTAATAAGTAAATTACTATATTTGAATAAATTAATTTTTTATGGCAGTCAATAATTTCCATTAATGACATTAATACATTGACTAAACTAAAATGTGAAATGTTATCCGTAAAATTTGTAACATTGTGTGAGTTCTAGTTGTTTTAAATCAATTATATGATTAGATATTGAATTGTTGTAATTGTTAGTTTATGGATTTGGAGTCATAAGACTCAGATAGTTAAATTACTTCTGAGCTAGTCTCGAGTCAAAATTAAGTTGGTACAATTCAAGGAGGGGTACATAAGAATTTTTTGAAGACTTGTGCCTCATAAACGTATGTTTTAAGAAAATTTAGAGAGAAAGTAGAGAGAAACTCTTTGAGAGTCTAAATCTTCTTCCCTTGTTTTCAACTAAAATCTTCCTTTTCCTCCTTTTCCATAGTTGAATCTACTTGACTAAGTTAGAAGATCCAAGCTTGTGGAGTTGAAGATCTAAGTCAGAACCGTGTAAAGGGTTCCTTTTCTTCATCTTTCCTTTTCCTCTTATTGGTTGGAGCCTATAAGAGGTAAGAGAAGCTTGTAGTTTAATCTTTTCTATTGTATGTGATGATTATACCTTGCCGAATCCTACTCAGATGAGCATTTGAGTCAAATTTTTGAAAGGTAGAACTTTGAGTTCTTCGTTCTTGAGATTTCTTGATAGGAAATGAAGGAATCAATGAGTTCGTAATGCATTGTTGTTACATGTTGTTTCTCTTTTGAAATTTTAGTTGCTTTATGCTGTAGATGGTGGGTGATGAGTTACATGCATGAATTCTAATATAGGATGAGAGAATTTTATTGTTCTTGAGTTGTTGTGTTCATACTTGGATTCATGCATATTTTTTGCGCTTGCTCACTTAAAGTGCTAATGGGGTTCCTCAAAGTGAGTAAGCGAATCCATTTAGAGGTTATCCTTCCTTGAATTGACTTGTTTAAAGCACGAGTTGTAGCTGCTTAAAGTGAATTACGATGACGCAAAGCAAGAACTAACACACTTGAGTGAGATGGTGTGACCAATTTAGAGGTGTTCTCTGATTGGTCACTTTGAGTGAATTTCAAGACACTGAGTGAATTTGGTTTGCTTAAAACAAGGGCTTTCTTACTTTAAGCAATTAGATTTAGACTCCTAAGAGTACTCTTTGTCTGAGCTTGCTTATAACAAATTATGGGGTGCTCTAAGCAAATTTCATTCGTCTTGAGCAAGCTCTTGGGTGCTTAAAGTGCCAATTTTCATAAGAACTTGTAAACCTCTTAATTTAACTTGATGAGTGGATTGATTATGTGATGTATGATGATGATATAACCTAGTTCATTATGAATTAATCTTTGATAATACATAAGAATGTTTGAAGTTGTTTAAGCTAATAGTTGATTAAATGCCAAGTAAGATGAAAGGTGCTTGTTGTTTAAAGTTGCTTATCTTGAGATTAAAGTAGTTTATGTTGAAAATGTCGCTTATGTTGTACGTAACTTGTATTTGATGATTGAAAGTTGTGATTTAAGTTGTTAAGTTGCTAGACATGTGGTGATGATTCATGTCTTTGTTGAGATACATAAAAAGTATAGGAGAATAAAAGATATTTTAAAAATTAAAATATTCTATTGTGTGAATATACGTTACGGTGCGTCGAGAGTCTGGTTGAAAATCTCTTAATAAGTAAGGTCGTTACTGAGTGGATAATTATTTTTAATTTGTTTCCTCTATGTTTTATGTGGTATCTACATGCGGACAACATCGATGCATACACGTATAAAGTGATCAATTGAGTAAAGTACAAAATTGAGGATTTAGTCACTAATTAGGTACCGAAAAGACATAGTATTTAGAAGGTAGTCGGTGAATTAATCTCATAAATAAGTTGTTTTGACTTGTGTTTGTTGTGTTGTTTCTTTTCACAAGCTTACCTTTCTTTTTATTGTGGTTAGAACTACAATAATTATATTTTACATGAAAATATGACAAGATTAGCATGTTAACTTTGTACAATTACTAAAGGATCATGTAGTTAGTGACCATTTTGGGTGGTGTCACTTTGATGTGACACAATTGTTGTATAAACATTTATTACACTCAAATTTATTTTGTATACAATAACATATTTTATGTGTATAGTTATATATGTATAACAACTATTATGATTTTTCTAATCTTTAAATATTTATTGCATGATAACTTTAAATTAGTTAAAATTTATTATTTCAGTCTACTAAGTAATAATTGTACTACACTAAATATAAAACCTATCATGTCGTTACAAGTTGTTACAAATTTAAATTTAATATAATAAAACAGATTTTCAAATTATACTAAAAAAACATAAATCAAGAGCCCTATAATTAATGACTATTCAGATTTTTATTATATTTATTTATTGTAACCATTTAATAATTATAGGAATGAAATTATATAACTATTATTATTATTATTATTATTATTATTATAAAATTTTAAAAATAATTAATAAATATTTTGAAAAAAAATTAATAAAGGATCTTAATCAAATAAATTAATTTGCTTACAGCCGTCAATGATTTCCATTAGAAAAAAATTGATACATCGAAGAAAATGAGTTTTCAAACATTTTGTGTAATGTTAAATTTAAAAATATAAGTCATATTTTAAAACTATGCTAATAAAAAAAATCAAGAGTCCTATATAATTAAATAAAGAAATAATGATTATTCATTTTTTCTATTATATTTATTTGTTGTAATCATTTCATCGTAATTATATTAATTTTTAGAAGTAAGCATAATTATAGAAAAATGAGTTTCCAAACGTTTTGAGAAAGTGGCATTTTTCTATATCAAAGTTTTCTAGGAATATACAGTACAAGAATACTCTTACCCATACATTATTATCTTCCTCCCAATAAAACACGAAAGAGTTTAAATTCGGTGTATTTTGAGGTATTTTTTCCAAAACTTATATTAGTGATAAAGTTATTCAAGGGAATAAGGTCATTCAAACCCTTTAATTAATATTTTATCTTGGTCATGTGTGTCCAAAGTCCAAATCACGTGCTCTCACTTTGACGTCTGCATGCAGATTCATCATTCATCAGTTCCATTATTCTATATATTGGGACAACCTTCCCTTTAATTTCATCCTAAAAACACATTAACCTAGCTTTTAAGCACCCATGTCCATGGCAACCCTCGATAACCCTCCCATTTTTGTTTCCAAAATAGCCATAATAGGGGCTGGAGTAAGCGGAATAGCCGCCACCAAACAACTATCCCATCACAACCCTATTGTTTTTGAGGCCACAAATTCCATTGGTGGGGTTTGGAGGCATTGTTCCTACAATTCTACTAAGCTTCAGTCACATAGACGTGACTATGAGTTCAGTGATTTCCCTTGGCCTGAAAGGGATAATCCGGAGTTCCCTACCCACATGGAGATTTTGGATTATTTGTATTCCTATGCTGAGCACTTCGATGTGCTCAAGCATATCAGATTTAACTCCAAGGTGGTGGAAATTCGGTATGTTGGGGACCAAGAATATGCCTCTGATTTTAGAAATCCACCTAGTGAATTTGGAACCCCACTCCCTGGTCGTCCTGTATGGGAACTGGCTGTCCAGACCAATCAATTAGACACCATTCAGGTATTGATTTGTTTTCTTTCAATTCAAAAAGTTATTACATGATTTGGGACACATGATCCTAATAAATAATATCCATGTCACACATAATTATACTTTTTAATTTACAAAAAAAAAAAACTAATGACATGTTATGAGGAGATTTGGTGTTTCAACATTTGTTAAAATAGTAACTTGTATTTTTTTTAACTAATTAAGTTATTGGAATTTTAATAATGACTTTAATATTACATAGACTATATTGAGATGAAAATATTTCTACTTTGTAATCAAGTTTTTTAATCTAATAATTGTAAGATCTGTTCTAGGATAAGAAAGATCAGCCTAATACTTCTATAATTGGTTTTCATCGATGTTAAAATAATGTTTGATTAACAAAAGCAACATTCTATAACATAAATTAATTTTTAATTGTCAGTTTTAAAATACTGCATGATCATATTTATGAAAAAAAAATAATACTCACTTTTTTAGTGCTTTTGATCTTCAATAAAGATTAGTTGCTCTTTCCTTTTCATAATAGTTGTAATTTAAGATTTTCATAAAAAAATTAAAAACAATAATAAATATTGTATCACTCTCTTTATCCTATATTGACTACAATTTTATCATTTAGGAAATGTCCCATAATAAGTAATGTTTCCACTTTTTAATATGTAATATTAATTATATTTTTCTTAATTTACTCCTTCATAAATTATTCAACCAACATAATTTAAAGTAAAACATTTATTAGAAGACTAGGTTATTTGAGTAAAATTGTATAAAAAATAATATATTTATTATTATTTTTAATTTATCTGTAAAAACCTTAAACTACTGTAAAACGAATGAAATATTATATTAAAAAATAAAAATATCATTCATTTCAAACATTTTTTAAATGTTAAGACAGCAATCATTCTAGAAAAGAATAGTGGAAGTATTGTTTATCACAATACTAATATCATGATTATAAAAATAAAAAGATTTGGATCACATAATTTCGTATTATGCAATAATTTATCCTTCAAGGCTTCGACTAATTATTGGGGTAATTAGTTAGGAATATTTCAGAAATGAGAACAAGGCTAAAAAAATCCTCTTGATGCAATATTCTTATACAAATAAAAAGTTATACGTAATTGTACTTTTTTCTTTGTTAAAGTTAGTAATTTTGGTCTTTCAATAATTTTTTTTTTTTTATCAGCCAACAAATATTTGTATTTATATATAGAGGTACAACGGGTACCAAAATTCATATACATGAGATAAATAGAATGTTATAATACCCTTAGTTAAAACTAATTTGAGTTTGTAGTATCAAATTATATTATAACTAGGGGTTCCAAAATAATCCAGCACCACGAAGTACATAATTCTTCTAAGGGTGACCCATCAACACCAGTCAAGTACTTTTTTAGATGCACAGGCCGGGATTGATTGACCATAAGTAAAAAGGGATATGAAAATTGTTTTGTTTTACACTCAGCCATTTCCAAGCTATGAGGATGATTTTCTTCATTAATTTTTACTGAACAAACTGATTATGCCTGAAACCTCTCGTATCAGTATTTTCTAACATACATATGGAGTTTATTATGGATTTGGGATGTAAGATGATTTCAAATTAGAAATAAAAAAGAAAAGGTGATTTTTTTTATTTTTTGTTTTATGAAAACTAAAGGAGCTTTTAAGAAGTGGGATTAGGTTTTAATAGAAAATTTTAGAATTTTTTCTTTTTTAAAAAATTAATGTTAATTCGTGGGTTTTTAGTAAAATAGTTTAAATCGACATAACCAGTTGCATAGATTATTTTGAATGGAAAAAAAGAAAGAAGAAGAGGTTTTGGAAGATTTTGGCAAAGGAAAATGGTAAGAAAAATAGAGGACTAGATGTGGTAGATTTAAAAATTAAGATTAAAGTTTGGAATTAAATTATTGGTGGAGTAAATGACTAATAATAAAGTGAAAAAAAAAGTACAATTAAATTTTTTTTTAAGTCATCTCTTTCATAATACTATTTTATTCTACTCACCATTAAATATTCCAATGATTATCAAAAACAAAAGAAAAAAGAAAAAACTTATTACTGAGTAACTTTGAAGGCAGCGTGATATATGCATAATCCCACCCAAGCCACCTTAGCAGTACTTTTAGTTACATTCATTTTTCCAACATCAAGTTTTAGTCAACCTTTACAAATTAAGCATAAATCTTTTATTTATTTATTTTTATCTATTTTACATTGAGAATCACAGACATGATGATGAACTCTACCACCGCCCCACACCCAATCTTTTGATCTTTGAATTGTAAGCATAATATATGTATTTTATGTGTTTTGATAATTATTTGCTTAATTATTACTGCATTATTTCAGTGGTACGCCTTTGAGTTTATAGTGGTTTGCATCGGAAAATATGGTGACATACCGAAGCTTCCAGAATTTGCATGCAACAAAGGCCCTGAAGTGTTCAAGGGTAAGGTCCTGCACACTCTTGATTACTGTAAACTTGACCAGGAGGCTGCAACTAAGCTTCTCAAGGGAAAGAAGGTTGTGGTCGTTGGTTTCAAAAAATCAGCTATTGATTTAGCCATGGAGTGTGCAAAGGCAAACCAAGGTAACTATCTAATCATTTAATTTTCTGATTCTTTGATATTGATTTAACCACGGAGTATCAAATGTTTTTTTTTAATTAATTTATTTATTTATAAAATTTTGCAAACTTAAAGTATGCATTTATAACTTTTAATTCAATGGTTGTTTCATTAAAATTTAATGTAAAATATGATTTATTAAGTAAAATAAATGTAAAAAAACTTACTTATGAAGTAAGTGGATCATCTTCTCTCTCTCACACACATATATATCTCACTTATTTTAAAAATAAGTCTTAGTAAACTTATACTCTATTCAATAATAAAAGTTCTACATCAAATTTTAGCAATCTAACCATTAAAATAAAAAAATTTTAATGTATAAATTAAATTTTTAAATTTTTAAATTAACATATAAATTTTTTTGCAATATATATACATACATATATATATATATATGGTAGTTAATTAATTAATTAAAATAAGTTTAGAAAAATTAAAGAAAATGAAGATAAAATCATGAATTTGATGTTTATAACTGCATGGGACGATCCAGGTTTAATTTCATAATATAGCACATCTTTGAGGATGGAGAATAAACTTTAAATGTGTGAATATGATTAATATCATAGTTAGTCCAAATAACTAAAGTTTGTGGAGATATTTTGAGATTTTAACGAGGAACTAAAGTGTCAAATACAATAATTATTAAAATTGATTGGGTTAATTATTCTCTTTTTGCCTAATTCAGCCATCATTATTCACAAAGAATAGATATAATTAAGCCTTGCTATTTGTGAATTGTGGAGAGCTTATGGTTTGATTTGCTGAACATTAATTTTGATTAGACCTGGCCTATGTTTTAGTCAGTACACGGTATGTTTTTAAAAATTTCGTTGTTATTTTACGTAAAAGAATCAAACTTGATATCCTAGGACTTACAATATTTATACACCTTCTTCAACCGACTAAATTAAATTCATTGGTTTTAAAAAGTTTATTTAACTTACAAAAATAAAGTTTAAAGCTATTAAAAATATTTTTTATGCCTAAAATTTAAATTCATTTGTTTATATGAACACTTTAATTTCTATGTATTATCGATGTAAATATATTTATATCATTAAATAATTAAAATTTATCTCATAGATGAAGTTATAAGTAATTAGAGAAGAGTAAACAATCTATTTTTCAATACACATTTTTTTTATTGATAGAAATTTATTGAAATTATAAAATGATGATAAAAAAAATTATATAAAATGTAAGATTAAATAAATTTTGTGATTTTTAATAAATTATAATTAAGAAAAAAGAATATCCTAAAATAAATATATAAAAAAATGTGTTACTAATATTTCTCTTTAAAGACATGATAAGGTATGATTTAGTTTTATTTTACATTTTAGTTGAAAATAGGATTCCAAAAGGAAAAGAAAATCAAACATAATTAATAAATGGCATAGAAGACTCATTTCTACCGGATTGAAAGGTGTAACATATGTAATCGATTAAATAATCGGAGTAGGGACTCTTTGATAAACATGTTCCCCAGATTGAAACAAATTTTAGGTATATTAATTATTAAGTATATAACTATTGAGAAAAAAACTAATTTTATTCATTATTTGTGTAATTGTTTTATACTGTTTCATAGTTATGTTAACCCCATGGCGAAATTAAAGTCATAATTGATTTCTTTTTTATAATATGATATTGCATGATCTTATGATTGAAGATTGTTACATGGTTGGAAAATTCAACGTTCAAGTTACTATGGAAATCAATGGTTTACAAGATTATTACATGGTTGCCAAATGATAATTTATGAATCCTTAAAATTCACCTCTTTTAATCTCATGGGAGTTAGTTTAAATAATTTGGCTATGATATATATATAT